TCGCAATTTCGTAATGTTTGGTGGACAGAATCCTAAACGTAGACATTGAAAAAATGAGTCTAAAATCAACCACAGAAGTAATTACAAGATTTCCAGGACTTTATAAGTGATCCTCTACCAAATATAAGTCAAAAAGTCGGCGTTTTTGACTAAAAGATCAAATTCACAAACAGGCAGTACCGGCGGTAAGAAGATTTAATACAGGTCATGAAGTGAAAAATGGACCAATCGACAGAGATCAAGAAAAAAGGGCAGGTAACCTAGTATTTTTTTTTTGTTTTTTGTTTTCCCTTTGAAACGCAAGAAAGGGAATAGAAGGGCGCAAATCAAGGACTTGATTAACAAAAGAAATATTTTTTTGTTATAAAATAACATGATCCATCGATCAACATAAATAGAGACGACTTGTATGCTATAAAAAGATGTGAATCAAAATTCGAATGCTTTGTATACGAGATGTCATGTATCACCGATTCTAGACCTTCTATCAATGTGCAGGCAGACTTTGTCATAGGGGCTAAACTCGTTCTTTATTTTGTTGATCCAGTTGACATTTACATTTCTTCAGTTTAACACTTTCTTGATAATGGATTGAAGACGACACCGAAACTTCTCGCTTATCTCTATCGTATTTGTTTCATTACTGTGCCCAAAAACCTACTCTTATTAGTATCCATCAGTTGATGCAATGTCGACCACGTGCCTAAAGTTATAAGAAAAAAAGAGCGATTCATTATAAATAGATTACAATTACCAGTTTTCCGACGACAAGAATGTTTTACGACTTTCAAAAGAATGGCGGTCGTTTTGATGGGAAAGGAAATATTTCTATTTTTATTTTAGAAGGAATGTTAGGAATTAGAAAGCTCAATAAGTGCTGTATATAAAACTTGTCGACATTCATGATCTCTCTCGCAAAACATCTAGGCCGGGGAATGAATGAAAAAAACAATGTTAGTTCATAGAGGATATTATTCACTCTCGCCTTCCTTCGTGATCTAGACTGGAATTGGAATATATCACTGCATTATAAACAATATGAGAAACAAACGCCTGGGAATTATCGAGGAAATTCATTTGCAAAAAGCCAACTATAAGATATTTTTTTAAATGCCCAGTGTGCACCATTATACTTTGGGGGCCGCTAGGGCCGCGAGGCGGCCATTTTCAGTTTACCGAAATTCTATAAATTGTACAGTGTTCGAATCTTTGACATCTCACTTTAAAATGTTTAAAAGCTAATATAGGAGTTTTCAAACATCTCAAATTCATTTTATGGTGATATTTGGAACAATAACAGAGCCGCGCAAAGCATAATAGTGCAACCTGGGCCTTTAAATGAGATATAAACTGAGATATAAACTGTCACTTCCGCTTTTTATCATAAACACGGTGGCAGATGAAAGACACCTTCTTCTCAAGGGAACATTTAAATATATTCGTACCCTTCTGATCTTCCAGTAGTATTTGCCATCTGAAGGCCACAGCTGTCCAACCAATTTCCAATTTTCTTGTTTATACGTCATAGATCCCCACATCGTATACTAATCTGCTTTTCATCCTTAGATCGTAGTTGCACCATTTACTTTTCTTCTTACCACATCCCTGTTTGTTTCGAATACTTTGAAATAGAAAAAAAATAAGGAATATTAGTAAAAGTAAATATAATTTCATTGGCAGTCACCAGCCCAAATCACCTATAAGACTCTGTTTATGTTTCTTAAAAGATTAAGCATAAGCTAAAAATAGAGAAACGTCGTCATCTATCATGCTATATGAATAAATATAATGTATTACGATTCTCTCGTAAAACGACGGATGGACGGAAACGAATTAAAAATTAAGCAATAAACATATGCTTCGAGTATCCGGTTCTGTGCTCTCGTATCTTAACGTTTAAAACTGAAAATCCAGTCCTGACCTCCTCTCGACACGCTCCAGCACTGACGGGAAATGAGAGTCCGCTATAACTTACCTGAGCATGTGCAGAATAGGCCAATTAAAATAATAGTCAAATAAGTATCGACTCTTTTGGATTTTTAAATCTCTATTGATTCGCAATCTGTCTTTGTTCACATTATAATAAGTACGTTTTTGGTATGTGTTGGGCATCTGTCATGATGGTAGATTTATCTAAATTTTAGCTTGGATTCTCGCTTAGAAACGACAACGATACTTTTAACTTACAATGGTTGATGAACGATAGATATTTTTCAAGGCTCTAAACTTATATCTGACAGTAAGACGATTCAGTGACGAGGAAAAATAATAGACTTGTTTTCCAGGTGCCATGGAAGACAATAGTCACCAGCGCCATGGCCAGAGGAAAAGGTTAATCGAGCTAGGCACTTTGCGCGGTCGGCGGATGCGGTCACATCTTTGGAGGTTCGCGGGCATGCTCCCCTCAAAAAATTTGAATTTCAGATACTCGGAAACGTGATTTCCAGCGTTTTCCCTAGCATACTTGAAGCGTACAGAGAATTGTTACCTTGCGATCACCGCATCGAACTATGTAGTCACAAACCTGACAAATGAGTGCAAGTTATACTGGACTCTCTTTCCCCGCGAGTCCTGGAGCGAGTAGAAACTGAAGTATGGACTCTGGAAAGTGAATAATTCGGGAAAGAGGGTAAACGTAAATCAGAAGAAAAGACCAATTTTAAAGATCGAATGCATAATTCTATACATATCTTCTAACATTAAAAGAAAAATAACAAGCTTACTGTACTGTCTGCTAGTTTTGAACCTTATAGAATTTTCAGTTTTTTGCAACTGATATATTAAACAAATTTAGATAACTTTAATAATAATTGCTTAATGTTTAATGACCTATTCAATTTAATGTCATATTTTGAAAGAAAAATTCAAATTGCTCGCCAACCTAATGGCAAATCCAAATTTTAAGTTTTTCCAATTCACATTATATTGGGTGGCGAAAGCCATCAAGCCTATTGACTTGAAAAAAATTGCCTTATTGCAAGCTCACCGATTTTCACGAAAAATTTAAAAAAATCCAACTGCATTGTATAGCAGACTAAGTGATAAGTGATAGTCAGAGTCCCCGATTTCCCACAAAACGGGATTGTTCGCATCAATGTCCATATAGGACTTGCCCCTAACTACAGTCCATGATAGAAAAGAGCCACAATAGTCGTGCTTCTCTTTACATTTAAACTTATTGACAATGCTGTTGATATTATTCCGAGGCACAAGTTTAGTGTAAGGATTGCCAGAAGGTTGGAATCTCTTATCCGCTCTTTTCCAAACCAGATCTTCTAGACCACCTCTCACTGTGGTCATAAGGCAATACAGTCCAGTCATGGAACGATCGTATTTACCCAAATTCAATTAGTGGAGTAAGTGTCCGTTATAACGCTGACATGTGGATCAAAATAAAGAATGATCGCGCTATCTTAGTCGACTGCGTAGAGCTTGCCGAGTAACGCTCCTGCCAATCTTCTAAACATTGCTCGATCAATTATTAACCTACTGAGGGTTTTTTGCCATTTGACATTGTCCGGTAACATAACAATACAGTGTGTCAGAATGATATCACGGAATACCGCTAGCTGTGCGTACATCTCACAATATCTTATGGCTTTTTTTTGCATCGGCTACTTTGTTATCGTCGAACATCTTAAGTGTTTTATTGGCAAGTACTATTCCCATAAACATCAATTTCTGTGATCTTTCCACTTCACGTAAGGCCACAATCATATCCTGTTGAATAGAAAAAGGTTCCCACGGCCCCCTGCAGCTCTGTCTAAGTACGCTTTAGTACGTTGAAATGCTGATAGCAAACTATCTTTCTTTAAGGAGAGCTCCTGGTCGCGATATTTCGATAGAGCCTCTTTTATCTGCTCTCCAACAACTGCCCCAAAGGTCTTTGGTTTCGGTCCTTTGCCAAACAAACCAAGAAGAGCAGAAACAAAAGCTTGAAGACTTGGAGACTGGCTTATCGTTGCATAATTACTGGATATGGGGGCAATGATGTTGATTGCTGCTTTTGCAGCAGCTACAGGGTCCTCACCAGCATTGCCAAACGCCTCGATGTTTAAAGATATTATATTTAAAATGTCTAGGGCGCGTTTCTTGTTATCATCGGATAGATCCTTCCATCTTTCATCAAAGCTTGACATGTAAACTTTAACACGAGATGACAATGGACCACTGAACGTGGAAAGTTTGGTTTTGACTGCAGCAATGAGTTCGTTTTTACGAACTCTATCTACGAATCAAAAGTAAAAAATAGTTAAAATATAGGAAGAGTAGTAGTGAGTCCCTCAATCCCATCATGGTGTCTCATTCTTTTTTGTCCTCTTTAAGAAGTTGTCCACTACTTCAATTACAAACACTCGTACATTGAATATAACTTTATATTTTTGAACATCAAACATTACCTGAGTCCTGGAGTTCACACATTGATTGGTTGTATTGTTCATCATTCTTGTCAGGGGTGAGTGCAATGTAAGGAGAATTCATCGTTTCATGTCGTATCAAAAGTCAGAATTCTTTACAATTTCGTATTCTTTTAATTTTAGAAAAGAAATAAAAGACGAAATTCCGTGTTTGATTTAAGGAATAAAAGACGAAATTCCGTGTTTGATACTCTGATCAAAACACTTGGGATGTAGGGAGAGCACTCGAAAAGCTGGAAACCACTCCGCTACGCGTCGTGGTTTCCTACGCTTCTCTCGTGCTCTCCCTACATCCCGCGTGTTTTGATCAGAGTATCAAACACGGAATTTCGTCTTTTATTCCTTAAATATAATACGAGAAAGAGTGCACTCATGATATTCGTAAAACAAATCTCACAGTGACAATGATATTTTGGAATTTTATAGTCCAAGCGGCTGGCTGAAAAAATGGAAAAACAGGATGTCTGGAGCTTCTGTAGATTCTAAAACGTTTGATAGCTCTTCTTCTGGGATATCATCCCAGAGGACATCACAAATAGGCGTTTCTTCGCTCATTGTTCTTGAAAATGAATGATAACAACAACAAATGCAAACGGCGGGAAAAAAGAAATTTGACGCGCGCGAGTGTGTTTTGATACTGTAATCAAACATGGTTTTCGACCAATCACAGCGCGCGTAGTATCCTAGTTATTTTAGAACACAAACTCTTACCATTTTTTTGAACTTTCTACGCCATTCTTCAGTGTATCTTCCTCTTTGTGTTGCGAGTTCAAGGAGCTTTCTCTCCTGTACTGGAATTTTAGGAATAGTCAATATCACTGACTTTCTAATACAGTGGAAGGATCACTGCGACTGCTATTTATAGGAATAAAGGAATTTTAAAAAAAATTGTCAGTAAGTCGAATAAGTAAAAAAAAGGTTGCCGCCATCGGGATGAAGACAACAAAATACAGTTAACTCTGTTTGAACGACCACTCTAGTAAGCGACCACCTTCAGTAAGCGACTACCTTTTAAATTTCCCGTTTTGTTCAGTTTCCCATATAAGCTCTGTAAAAAAAACTTTCTCGTAAGCGACCATCTCTCGTAAGCGACCACTTTTTCCTGATCCCGAGGTGGTCGCTTACGAGAGAGTTGACTGTATTCCTTTTTAACCTCTCATGTTCATTCGTCAATCTGGCGGCAATAGCTTTGCTCACAAAGGATTTCTGTAGCCATGCGACTCCACACCACGAATAGAAACGCCAAGTTATGGTTTGGAAGTGGCTAGCACAACAAAAATAACAAAGAATGCAACCCGTGAACTAGCGGGTTGGTTGTTAACCGGTACGGGTTGACCAACAAGATAGAGCGTGTTGGGGGCCCAGTATGTACTAGAGATTTTTGCTTCTCTACCCGTTCTATCGGGTTTATTGTCAACCAGTTTTAGCGTGTTGGGTTCTAACGGATTCTGCGTGGTGTTTTTTTGGCATTCTTAAACTCCTAAACATTATAAGATATGGACTGGAATTCAAAAGGATTGTATCAAAAAGTAGAATGGAAAAGCTAAACTGAGCAAACCAACCTTCAGACTTGGAATCAAATCAAGATAAAGAGATTCTGTACCTGATTGGTCATTTTCCTTCGACGTTTGTAACTCCTACAATATAAGAAAAAACGTTAACAGTAAACATAATAATATTAAAAAAACATATGCACTTTTCGGACATCGCAAAATATTAGTCAAAAGACGTCCAAGGAAATATCCTGATTTTCAAACCCTTGAGCACTTTTCAATGACCTTCAATTGAGTGAACATCTTGCCTTAAAGTTGTGACATAAGATGGCAAAAGACATAAAGTTACGTTATATTCGAATGTATAATTAGTTATACTTGTTGAGCTAACGATGAGCTAACCAGACTTTTATTTTAGGAAAGATTTTCCATTATTTCTTGACCTTCGTTGGTAATATTTCTTGCTTTTAGCAGAGCAGTGATATTAAAGTGTGATATTCAAATAGACACACACAAAAAAAATGCAATTACAGCGCACATTTTGAAGGGGGTTTGACTGCATGCTGGCATCTTTAGAATTAACACCAGGGGCTCAATGATTCCATCAGCTGGTTGAAGAGTTTATTGTACAAACTTCATAAAATTCTAGGTAATCTCTTTTGACCTCTAGACCTCTTTGACATGGGTAATAATACGTTAGTATGGATACTCCGTACAAGTTTCTTGTCTTATAGATATAAGTTGCAGTTTATAATCTAAAGTAGTAAGAGAAACTATGGAAACTCTGACGAAAATACATCCCGTTATTTTTCTATCCTAAATTAAAAATTGATCCTTGAAGACGAACTGACTACTTATGAGAAAGAGGAGGTCCTATGTTCCTCGTTTTTCACGAGACCGAGAGCTCTTATTGGGTTAGCACTAAACAACCTAATAGCTAAAAAGTACAGCCGAACTGCGATAACCTTTGAGAAGAACCAAGCTAAACGTTAAATAGAGGTTGGGGATTTTGTTTTGTAAACTGAAGCGAATTTTGGTGAATTTATAGCTGCTTATTGGAGGGTGACTTCAATTTTCACATTTTTTTCTCTAGTTCTGCAACATTTCAGGAAACATTCCTGTTTTAGCGTACATGAAAAAGTACGAGGACTACAACTACCGTCATGCTTTGCTGCATTCATAAACATGGCGTCGTTGTTCATTGCATGTTGGTCTCATTCGTTGTGCTGTGATTTTTTCTTGGATTTGCAAGTTATGTCACAAATTTCTAACGTGATAGTTTACTGCCCAGAGCCGTTTTGCTCCAATGACAAAGCAAAAGAGAGTTTAAGCTAAATACAATATCTAGTATCTTACAGAAATTTTGAATTTTATTATATATAAGACTCAATATTCGGTAAACATTGATTCGGTCAACAGATGCTACAATTATTCATCATTATCATTATCATTAAGGGCATCCTTTGTTATCGGGATTGCTATTCGCCTTCAGTTGAAGGCGTTTCAATTCAGCCACGTGCCTACAAATTATAAGAAAAAAAGAACGACTCAGTATGAATAGATGATATATAAACAGTCGCTTGCGTTCTGTATAATAAAAACTGTGCATGGGAAATGAATTTGCGACCTTGTACTGCGTACCTTTCTGATCTTCCAGTAGTTTCGGCCATTTGAAGGACGCAGCTGTCCAACTATTTTTTTCCTCATACTAGATCCAGAGTAACGAAATCCCCAGAAACGACGATAAATTCTTCTGATTTTCATCCTTAGATGATAGTTGCACCAGCCACTTCCTCTGGCACCACAGCCCTGTTTGTTTCGAATGCTTTGACATAGACAAATATTAATTAAGGAATATCAATAAAATAAATATAAATGTATAGTACCCTTACCGACCTATTACTAAATAAGCCTTTGCTTATGCCTGAAAATAGGATGTACATGTGCAGTCCAGGAATTAAGTTCAAGGGAGCGATATACAATACAAGTGGCAATTCATAATGACGAAGCTAATTAACATAACTTACTATTTCCATTCATTGCCACCGATTTCCCACAAAACAGGGTCACCCCTAGTTATGTCCACATAGGCTTGGCCATCAACGACTGACCAGGATAGCATCGCGCCGCAATAGTCGTAATTTCCACATCTGAACTTATTTATAATGCTGTACGTGTTTCCTGCGTGCGGCACTAGTTTCCAGTAACAGTTGAGATTGTTATGTGGCACAAGTGTCGTGTAAGGATTACCAGCAGGTTTGAAACTCTTTTCCGCTCTTTTCCAATCGAGGTCTTTGAGGCCACCTCTCCCTTGGGTCATAAGGCAATGCATGCCAGCCATGGAACGATCATAGTCATTACCCAAATTCAATATCTTAGTGGAGAAAGTGTCCGTTATAACGTTGACATCTGGGTCAAAATATGGAATGATCCTACTGTCGTAGTCGAGCACGTACAGCTTGGCGAGTACCGCTCTTGTCATTCTTCTAAACACTTCTCGATCGGCTATCATTCCATTGAGGTGTTTTCGAACGTTTTTATTGTTCCGCGGGATCATGGAAATAAACTGTGTTAGGATGATGTCACGGTAGAACGCCACCTCTGCGTACATTTCACAATATCTAATGGCTTTTCTTGCAATGCCCACTTTGTTATTCCTGAACAGTTTTTCTATTAGATAGGCAATTTTTCCAATGAAATTAACATTAAGGACCACTTTATTTGATGCCATAATCACTTCATCTGTAGTTAAGGGTCCATCCGAATCTGCAGCTTCGTCTAAGTACGCTTTAGACAGTTGAAATGATAACATAAAACCATGTTTTTCCATAGCAAGGCTCTCGTCGCGATATTCCGACAGAGCATCGTGTATCTGCTCTCTGACAACTTCTCCCAAAGTCTTCGGTTTTGGTCCTTTACCAAATAAGCCAAGTAGAGCAGAGACAAAGCCTAGAGCCACACTTGCAAGCTGACCTTTTGGTCCAAAGTTACTGGATATGGAGGCAACGATGTTAATCCCTCCTCTTATTGCACCTATTGGGTCTTTGTCAGCATTGCCAAACACCTCGATGTTCGAGGATATGACACCCAATGTGTGTAGGACTCCTTTCCTGCTATCAGGGGGGAGATGGTGCCATTTTTTATATAAACTTGATAAGGAATGTTTAGCACGAGATGCCAATGAACCGCTGAAATCTGTAAGTTTGGTTCGAACTTCAGTAATGAGACTGTCTTTAGGAGCTGCATGTACAAAAAGTCAAAAGCAAAAAATAAGTTAAAATATATAAATATATATTATTTGAAGTTGTGATCATTTGAAGATGTTTGGATAGTCGGACTCTATTGTTTGTGGAAGTATCGGATCATCATCTATGTATGCAGCATTAATAATACTTTTTTGGTTCGATTTGGTTCGGTGTGGCTCGGACTGCAGTAATGAGTTTAGAAGCTGAATGTACGAAAAGTCAAAAGTAAAAATATATGATTGGTTCTCTCAATTGTATCATAGTTTGCCATTGTGTATTTTCTGTCACAATTCAAATCAAGACAATTGTACATTGAAATGATTTTTATGTTTTTGAGATGCATTACCTGCGTCCTGGAGCTCAGTTATCGACTGTTTATTGTATTGTTCATCATTCTTGTCAGGGGTGTCCTGGTCTACCATCTTTTCAGACAACTCCTTGGACTAGAAAATTCCAAAAAATATATCAATCACTGTGAGATCGATGTTAGGAAGATCATAGTTGTATCATGTTAATAAGTCATGTCAGGCGCGGATCCAGGGGAGGTGAAAAGGGTGAATTTTCAACCCCCCCCCCCCCCCCCCCCACACACACACACACATTTTTCTAAGCTCTTCTTCATTTTTTTCTCTTATCCCTCAAATATTGAAATATTATTTTTTTCTCCAATGACTGATTGATTCTACTCAACCATTTGCCGCCGCATTTATGGAACTCCATCCAAGAAGGATGATGGAACAATCACTTTTGGGACAGTAAATAGCGTATAGATAACATTAGTGGGTAATGTATATTCATGTACACACGGTAAACTCTCATTGTTCTTGATAAATACCAGTTTTAAACGTTACAGATTCTTTGTTTCAAGTGAGCATTGCGTACTAAATTCCGCTTAAATTTGTTCAATAAAGAGTTACTAAAAAGGCCCACAAAACGCTGCAAATCGCATGTCCGAGAGTATGGATTTTTATTACATTGTTTTAACAATTCACCACCCACTTCAAAATCCTGGATCCGCGCCTGCATGTTAATTAATGCAAGCGCGGAGCGTGGAAAATATTCTTATATAGAGGACCATGGAGGAATAAACATGCCGGGCACAAACAACTTGATTCGTGAAAAAATCTGTGTCTCGTAGTATATTAGAAACTCTTACCATTTGTTTGAACTTTCTGCGCCATTCTTTGGTATTTTTTTCTTGCACAGCTAGTTCAAGGAGCTTTCGATCTATCTCGCTTGTCGAATAATCTATCACGAAAATAAGAAATAGGTAAGAATAGTTGATAACAGCGTCCTTATTTTATAGTAAATCGTTTCACTTTTTCCAGATGGAATAATTCAGATCAACAATTCCGTTTTTCATTGCAAGAGATCTCTTTTACATTTCTCAAAGTATTCTTATAAACATGTGGTCACAAACCACGCATAGACTAATCGCTATCCGCAACATTCGGCGGACGATCCAAAGGTAGCATTACAGGGTAGCATGGCGGAACCCTAATAAAAATATCAAACTTTGCCGAGCCTAGGAATCAATATAAGACAAAGAGATTCGTTTTTTTTCCCTTATTTCAGTACCTGACTGGTAATTTTCTTTAGAGTTTTTGTACTCCTACAATACAAAAAAAATTAACAGTAAAAATACAATTAAGAAACCGTACTTTTCAGACAGTTCAGAATTATCACAAGACGTTCAAGTTCATTCCTGCTTGAAGGAAAAGTCCTGGATTTTCAAACTCTTCAGTGTGCAATGAATTGATTTTAATTGGGTGAACTTCATGAAAGTTGTGACATGGGATGTCTCCAAAAAGACATATAATAACGTTTTATTATAATATTCAAATGTATAATTAGGTATGCTTGTAAAAGTTTATTAATATTTTCAATAAAGTTCTCTCTGTGAAATTTTTACAAAATCAAGAAAGCTAAAAAGCGGAGCATCTATTAATAGTGTAGTACAAACAAATTTCACATATTTATTGTGTAAATAATAATAATAATAAAAATACCCGTGCTATGACACATATTAATTGCAATTTTGTCATATTGAGCGATTTTCACCCAACACGAGACTTTTTTCCTTTCTTACCGGGAGCGTTTCATTGTTCGCCATCGCGAAGCAAGCAAGTGACAACAAGACCAACAATGGAAGAAGCCTTGCACCTTCCATCTCTCTATTATCAAAAATAAATACTTAAAACCTTTTTCTAAATTGTACAAAAGAAAAATAGCACAAATAAATATGCACTGAATCTGCAGCTGAAGCAGATAATTAATAATTAAATAATTCGTAATGCACTCTACCTTGTATCTTTTAAAACCACTTGTAGTAGAACCAGTAAGAGCAATGTCACTCTCTGAATAACACTGATCTAAATGCACTGCTCGATGGTCTTGTCTTTTTATACTGGCAAATATTCTATAATGCTCGTCATATCTGACAGACACGTGATTTTGGACAAAAACCTCGACACCGTCTAAAATATAATGGACTTTTCCAAAATTGGATTTTACATACAAATCCATTGTTTTTTATCTTCTTATGTATTTTTGCGTGCTTTTCACTGCACACTTTGAAAAAATATAAAGAAACCAATAAATTTTGATATTTCTTGTTTTTTTATATAAATAAAAACGTCTCATCATTATTGTCACTATTATTGTGACTCAAAATATCTCAAATGGAATCAGTTCTGTCACTTTCAATGTTATTGAGACTCAAAATATCTATACAATTCCGGACAAAATTGTTGAGACATTTCTTAAAATAGGTTGAATTTCGATGATCTATCTGCATATTTCTGTGCAAACCTCCCCCTTTCCCCCTCAATTCAATGTTGAAAGGACTGAACAATCATGCACAGTCTTCTAGCATCACGTCACACACACAACATTGCTTGGTGGGGGGAGGGGAGGATCAAAATCAGTGATTTTTTGGAGATAGGAGAAGTGATGATATTTTGGAGTGAAATAATGCCAGTGTCTCAACAAGTTTTGTCCGGGATTGTACATTGGTAAAATGGCCTTAGCTCTCTCTGTCACTTTCAAGGTTATTTGCGACTCAAAATATCTACATTTGTAAAATGGATTCAGTTCTGTCACTTTCACCATTGTTGTGGCTCAAAATATTTACATTTGTAAAATGGACTCAGTTCTGTCACTTTCAGCATTATTGTGGCTCAAAATATTTACATTTGTAAAATGGACTCAGTTCTGTCACTTTCAGCATTATTGTGGCTCAAAATATTTACATTTGTAAAATGGACTCAGTTCTGTCACTTTCAGCATTATTGTGGCTCAAAATATTTACATTTGTAAAATGGACTCAGTTCTGTCACTTTCAGCATTATTGTGGCTCAAAATATTTACATTTGTAAAATGGACTCAGTTCTGTCACTTTCAGCATTATTGTGGCTCAAAATATTTACATTTGTAAAATGGACTCAGTTCTGTCACTTTCAGCATTATTGTGGCTCAAAATATTTACATTTGTAAAATGGACTCAGTTCTGTCACTTTCAGCATTATTGTGGCTCAAAATATTTACATTTGTAAAATGGACTCAGTTCTGTCACTTTCAGCATTATTGTGGCTCAAAATATTTACATTTGTAAAATGGACTCAGTTCTGTCACTTTCAGCATTATTGTGGCTCAAAATATTTACATTTGTAAAATGGACTCAGTTCTGTCACTTTCAGCATTATTGTGGCTCAAAATATTTACATTTGTAAAATGGACTCAGTTCTGTCACTTTCAGCATTATTGTGGCTCAAAATATTTACATTTGTAAAATGGACTCAGTTCTGTCACTTTCAGCATTATTGTGGCTCAAAATATTTACATTTGTAAAATGGACTCAGTTCTGTCACTTTCAGCATTATTGTGGCTCAAAATATTTACATTTGTAAAATGGACTCAGTTCTGTCACTTTCAGCATTATTGTGGCTCAAAATATTTACATTTGTAAAATGGACTCAGTTCTGTCACTTTCAGCATTATTGTGGCNCTTTCGCTGTTATTGAGACTCAAAATATCTACATTTGTAAAATGGACTCAGTTCTGTCACTTTCACTGTATAGAGACAACAATAACCAAGATCTCAGTTAATTTTAAATGAAAATCTATTCTTCGGAGTACTCCATTTTACAGTTCCAGGCGCTATCTTGAAAGGTAGCCAAGTCTTTCCATGAAAGCGAGACAGGAGTTGAGCCTGCAATGATAGATACCTTTTGTTCACACCTAAGACAATTATTCACAGGTATCTATCACTGCAAGCGCAAATACTGTCTCGCTTTGATGCAAAGGCTTGGCTACCTTTCAAGATGGCGCCTGGAACAGTAAAATGGAGTATTGACCAACGCGTATGAATCGGTAAAGTAATCGGTGCGACTCGTCTTTCTCCGCTCCTCGATTCTATCCAAGCACGTGCACACGGCCATTTGGTACTTTAATTTGTTCCTTCTTGAATCCTTACCTCGTATTTTTTCGAGCGAGTTGAAGACTTTGAAAAAAAAAAATCTGAAGACTTTGTCATCGTTATTTGCGGGCAGAGGCATGCGGAGTTCCAAATCCGATAGCAAATCGTCAATATCGTTCGGCAAAGGAATGATGTCAAACGTATTTTGAGCTATAAACAAATCGTCACTGTTCGACATCATTTCCAGAATGACTGTTAAGAATATTTGATAACAATAGAGTGCAAACAATATATCTGTGAAACACTAGCTAAAACTATTTTTTACTAAATTTGACTAAATTTGACTAAATTAGTCTCTTGTTAATTTAGTGTGGTTACTGGGCCGTAGAAGCGTGTTGTAGAGTGCTTGGGTCGTGCTTTTTTCATGAGAGTAGCGTTGCTACAAAATCAAAACTAAAATCTAAAAACAAATCTAAAATAACAAAAAAACACAAGTAAAATGATTTCAGAGCCTTTACTCCTTTGTGCTGATGCCGCAAAAACGACAAAAGACACAATTTAATCTAAAAAAGAAATAACTACAATACACAAGAAAACGCGTTTAAGAATGTTTATTTATTTGCGCTGCTGCAAAATCAACACAAGACTCATCTAAAGCTAAAATAACCACACAATACGCAAGAAAACGCGTTTAAGAGTCTTTATTTATTTGC